TTATCTAGTAGACAGCACTCTCTTCTAAGGTATTGCCCTGAGGAAGCCCTTTGCATTAGGGCAGTGTTAGGAGCTCATCAATAGATATTAATCTATATTGTGGCAATCACTTCTTTTCCCCTGCTTAGAAAACACAGTGGTTGATATTGGTATGGTTAGCCATTAAGTTCATCGATGCTTGAAGGTTTCTGTGAAAGTTATCAGTGAAATAGTTTATAGTTGATGAATTATTTAATATTTTATTAGAATTAATTTTAAAACACATTTTAAAAAATTCTTGGTATTTGTCTCTTAGTGGCATTATGAATTCATCTTTAAAGAGAAATCTTATTTCAGATTTCCCTTTTAAAAAACTTCTGTATTGTTTCAAAAAACTCTGTAGTTCCACATATGCTCATGTGACTTTAGTTTTATACAACCAGAACCCCATAATTATTGATAGACTATCGCCATCTTTTTAATATTGCCAGTTCTTCTGCTTTAACTCCTCACACATCAGGATGATTTGAAGACCTTGTCTGATTTGAGACCAAGCACAATTACTGGTGTGTGCAAAAGTTAAAGGGCAAAATTATCCATAAGTTTTAAATTAAGGTTATAATTAGCTGTACAACAAAGCATTTGCTGTAGGGGATAAAGCAAGCTAACATAACTAAACATTTGGCAGGAGACCTAATTTTGGTTAGGTGTTTTAACCATACTCCCTTAGATAAGGATAAATGGTTATAAAAAGTTTGGGGAACTTTCAAGATTGCTCAGATATACATATAGTAATTACACACTATTTGCATTGAATAATGCAAAATATAGTTGCTGTATCAACGTTCAGATTTTGGTAAGTAACACTGCAACTGTGCCAACATATCCATTGGCAACGCAGCTCTGAAGCAGAAAGGAAACTAAGCAGCTACTGACTCTACCTTTTCCTCAAAGGAAAGCCGCAGCTTTCTGGGATGAGTTGTGAGTTTCTGACATAATGAAATGTATATTTTTGAATCATTTTTAAAGGACAATCTGTGGCTGTTTATTTCTAATTAATCATGGTTAATGAGGAAAACTACTTTTCTACTTTTGCAGTTTATGCTATTATGTATCTTAGAATCCCTTGGAGTATGTATCCATCCTTTTCCAAGGGGAAATATGATTTTTTTTTAAGGAATTAAGATTTTAAGCCCGAACAAACTTTGAAAGACTAATCTATAAAAAGAAGATTTGCCTTCTTCAGCACAATTTCAGATGGAAGAAGGCAGGTCAATGGAGAAAAGTTACACACAGATTTCTGAGTAAGTTTCAGGAAGACCTTATTAATAAACCGTATTCAACAGCGACTGCGTTGTCATGGGGATGTGCGGTAAATATTGTGCTGGACATTTTTAAACAGAGGTTAAAACATGCCAGGCGTATTTCATAAGAGGAGAGACAAACCTTCACTAAATCAACACTAAATGGCTATTTGAAATAGAAACATCTGTAAATCTAATTTATGCCAGTCTTGATCTCATTTATGAAGTGTGATGCCTGCTGTGACAGTAGATTGCGTTAACAATTATTTTGGTGACTGCTGATGTGAAATGTAACCCATTCCCTTATTCTAATTGCAATTTTTTATTTATCAGTTAAGGTGGATATGTTCACCCTCTTAGCGATGTTGCAGGGCTTTTTTCTGTAAAAGAAGAGAAGATAAAGGGGTCTTTTGAAAAGCAACCATTCATCCTGTCAGTACTGTAGAATGCCTACTACATGCTAGTGTCTGAAGCAAGGAGCAAAGTGTCAGAACGCATCACGTCACTGAGCTGTTGCATCATTCCTGTTATCCTTTGATTTCTGTAACCCCAAAACCCTGATAGAAAATCAGGAGGGGAATAGTGTACCATCAGAAATTAACAGCTGAAGATTATCCGAACAAATGACCCCCCAAAAAAGAATTCTAGGCCCAGTCATGGTGGAATGGAAAGTAGGATGCTGCTGCACTACTGTCTATGCACTACTGGGAAGCGCATAGAAGGCCCAGATTCTGACCCCACATCAGTCTAAACATGCCAGGTACAGTTGCAGGCATCTCTCAGCCTCTCACTGACTGAGGGGGCTGGGCAGGAAGGTTGCAGCATGGCAAGACCCTATCAAAGCACCTACCTTTCATTCTCTTCCTCCCTCCCCATCTCTCATCAAAACTCACAACTCATCCAGAAAAAAAAAAAAAAGAAAGCATATGAGTGAAATGGACACTGTACAAGTTTGCTTATAGCTAAATTGAGGTTAGTGACAGTGTCCTTTTGGTTACTATCTCGGCTCAATCATAATTTTTGATAAGGCTTACAATTTTTTTTTTTTAGGAGTGAAGTTACAACATCCCTATAACACTATAGATTAATACTTCTAGATTAACTTACTAAATAAAACTTGTATCCAAGAAAAGAGTACTAACAAATATGGTAGAATAAGTGAAAACACTAGGAATAAGTGAGACTATGACAACAGAGTCCATCGTGCCTACTTTGCAACATAGCTAAGTCTTATTTCTTGACTGGAATACATTTATATATGTATCCTTTTCATTTTAATATAATAATTTTACAAGACTTCAAATTATGGGCATTCCGATTCATCTAAAAAGGATGCATGAGGCAGCATTGCTCCATGCCTGACATCTTACAACCTTCCTTACAGCCTGGGCGTTTTTATATTTTAATCCCTAGTATATATTTGGGTGGCAACATATCATCAAAGTTTATTTTTGCCTTTTTTCTAAGCACTCTGAATTTTCAATCATTTCTTCTTAAGAACAATGAACTATGGAATGTGGACAATAAGGGAACTGCCATTTCCTTCATTTTTTCACAAGACTCTGCTCCTTTTTATCCCTGTGGCTCGTGGCAGTAGAGACAACTGCAGCGAAGGCCAGGGCTCTAAAGTGGCCCCAATATTTAAGGTCACATTAGCTATTTCAGATTTTAATTAATAATTTATTGCCATTAGTCTGTACTTCAAACCAGCATAAAAACAAAATTTCTTGGGAGTCTATCAAATGAGAAGCTTTCTTTGTCCTGGGAATACTCGACAAAACGGAGAGGCCAGCCATACCGCTGATCGCCACTGATGAAATGACTACCATGTAAACCAGAGTCCATTTAAAGATTCTAATTTGTTCTACATCCTCTTCCACATATTAAACTTCTAAAGTAGTTGTTGTGTAGATGGGATACCTAGGTTTCACTGTAAATTAACAGTCCCATCTTTATTTTATTTTATTTTATTTTGAGAGGTTTTTGCTATAGGGTATGTGTGCTCACCAGAAAGACAGAGACAGAGAGACAGAAAGTGAGAAATCCCCCCCTCGGGGGATGGCCACACCGCAATCTCTTCTCCATTCTCTTCTTGGTATCTTGGGCACACACGCACCCAGTATGAATTTAAGCCACTGGGTCCGGGACTCGAACCACGATCAACCACATGGGAGTTCAGTGACATAGCCATTATGCCATCTGCTGGTCCCAACAGTCCCATCTTAATAGAAATGTGTAAAATAACACATTTCTGTACTCAAAGTGTTTACAGTGTGTTGAGAAAAAAAAAAAGAATAAGTCTGATAAACATTTCACTGAAGGGTTTTCCTGTGGGGTGTTGTTTTTGGAAAAGTCAATAAAATCTGCTGTTTGTGTCAGGGTGCCACCTTCAAACCTCTGGTGGGGAAATGCTCCATTGCAAGATGTGGGATTAAAAAAGTCATCCCTCCAGGGGTTCTGTGGATGGGAACTGAAGCAAAGGGGAGATGGAGCAACTCCTAACATGCCTCAGCAGCTGCAGCAGCTAATTGGGGTGAAGGGCATGATGTTTCAGCCTTCTGCCTTCTGATTGGCTGAGTTGATAAAGCGTTGACTGAAGCTTTTCAGTTCTGTTTAACTTCTAGCAACATTTGTTTTCCCAATCCTCTGGGGTGGTGTTGGAAAGGACTTTGAGGACCATATTAAACTCTCTGCTAGAGCATTTCATGGATCTGTTGAGCTCTTTTCTAGGTAACCTGACATCTAGAACTGAAAGACAGATATTCATCCACTTTATACATTTAGTATAGCATTTCAACCAGTTATAGCTTCACTGCGGTCAATCATTAGAATAAAAACTCCTGAAGTGTAGTGAGCAATGGCTTAAGTCCCAACTGTGCAACAAAAACCGTGTGTCTGAGTGATTGCTCTCTCAGGAGGGAGCCCTTTCACCTCTCGATGAAAAAATGACTACGAAGTTGTCCATTTGTGGCTGGTATTGGTGCAATTAGGCCCGTGTGCAATTGAAGCTGCTCTTTCTCAAAGATGAAATATTGAACTGAGACCCTCATTGCACATTCAGAGAAATACACAGGAAAGGGATGGATCTGTATTTCAAGTATTGTTGATGCTATTGGCTTAGACACGTTGCCGTTATTGTGTCTGTTTTGCAAGCCTAAATTTGAGCCTGAAGAGTTTCTCCATATAAATGTCTTAAGTATTGCAGTGGCACATCCATCACTTTTTTTGCTTTTGAATTATAAAGATAACCTTAAGATATGAGCCTTAGACTGGGCAATGTGATACATACACAGAAAGGGTGAGCCTCCTTACTGATGAAATCAGCCAATGCCCAAGAGGAAGGTAATAGGCAGAAAGGATAGAGTTGATGAAAAAATTGATTCTTTTCCATTAAACTGTATGTGATGTGTTTTTTTTTTTTATGAAGCAGGCATCAGCTGAAAGAAATATTTTTTCAACTAAAAAGAGATTGATGGTGAAGGGGAAAAAAGTATGTAAGGGATCAGGGGATAAATATGTGTCTTATTCTATTACCATCTCAGATAATGAGAAAGCTAGAAAACATTCCATTGTAGTGACTTCAGATGTTTCGTTGCACTCGGTGATATTAAAACTTTACTGTTAACAATGGCGCTCTCTCTCTCTCTATTTTTAAGTACAGTTAGTCTTCACACATCATTATTTTCTGAATTCTAAACTTACGTTGCTTATTTTCAGGTTTACCGAAGATGCAGGTCATTAGGAACTATACTGGAACACCACCCCCAGCTCTTCATGAGGGGCCCCCATTGCACATCCAGGCAGGGGACACAGTCGAACTTCTGAGAGGAGATGCACATAGTCTGTTTTGGCAGGTACTATCCAAATTACAATGGTTTTGATTTAATGGATGATGTATTATCACTTAAAGAATAAAGCTCTTGTTTTTAGAAACTGCATGCTTTCAGCTTCAGAAATTTTACATCACGTGGGGGGAAATTAATTTCCATTAATCTTCCCCATATTTACCAATGCCAAAGTGGCAATGAGCATTAGAATGCTATAGAAAAATAGTATCAGTGCTGTGGGTCCTAATTACCATTTTTATTAAAAATTCATACTTTGCCAGAACATTTTTTCCAAATCCAGGACCTATGGGTATAATCTCATTTGCATGGCTTTAATATATTAACAGTTCACTTCAGGGGAACTACCTAATTAGCTTGCTTGTGGCCATTTCTGACCATATTGGATTTTTGCCAATCCAAAGTAATACCTGCAGTTCTCAGAGGTGCTCTAGGCATTATTCATGAAGTATATGAAATGTGAAAAGTAAGCGAACATGTTGATGTTTGCTAGGGATGAAATCTCTCTCAGCTAGTACGCTTATATTTGGTTCAAAGATTTTCTTAACTGAGATCAATCATGTTATGATTTGATAAAACTGGATGGTCGAAGAATGCTGCTGATCATTACATTACTTTCTAATATTTGTTAGAAATATTTCCCAACAGAGTTAAAGAATTTTTAAAACATCTATTGTGTATTGAGGGAAAGGGGAGGAAGGATCAATAGGAAGGCTAGCACATGAGTGAAATCTGATGAGATGAGAAGAGAGAAAGCAGATAACCCATTGTGTAATATGATAGTGATAACTATTTCATTTATTTGAAGCTATTTTCTTATCTGCTATCTTGTTACATAAGAATGCCCTTCAATTGCGCATTTTTCTCTCAACCATGGTATCAATCCCTGTAACCAATGGCTTTTCCAGAGATCCACCATTCTTAAGTATCCCACTCCTCTCATACCTTATCCTTTCCAGAAAAGGTTAGAGTAACAGACTTAAATTCTGTTATCTCCTTTTCTTTCTTTCCTTTTTTTCTTTTTTTTAAGATTTATTTATTTATTCATTTATTGTTATTTTAATTTAGCCAGAGAAAGAGAGAGAAAAGGAAAGTAAGCAAGTTTGCCAGATCTGGAACTGAAACCATGGTCAGCCATGTGGGAGTCCAGTGCCTGTTAACTACCATGCCACCCACCAGCCCCAAATTCTGTTATCTCTTCCATCCACTCCTGCATCTCTCAATCTAATGACAAAACATACTTGCATCTTCCAGTTATTATGTTCTTCTTATTCAAGAATTCTCTTTCTTTTTGCATTTTCCATTCCATGTTCCCTTGGCTGGCTCTTGACCTCTAAATTTTCAACTTTATTTTCTTCACTGACTCTTTTTATATAGGATATAAATATGCTTAATCTCTTTACATCTTAAAATACATATAATCCACCCTTTCTCTGGTTATATCGGGCTCCTTTGATCTCTCACACCCTCTCACTCTCTTCCTTTCCCATACCCAAAACTAAGTCTGTTGAGGAAATCGTCTTGGCTCAATCTCTGCCCACTACTTTCTGTTCATAATTCTGGTTTCTGCAAAAATCACTAGTATCACTAGTGCCACTCATTTAAAGACCCCCCCCCAAAAAAAAATCCCATCTTTCAGATATATAATAAACTACACACATTTTTAAGTGTACAATTTTGTAAGTTTTAACAAGTGTATGTACAATTGATGCCATCACTATGATAAAAATAATAAAGATCCATTAACTCCCAATGTCATTTTTACCCCTTTATAATCTCTCCCTCATACCCCTACCTGTTGCCTCCCCAACCCAAACTCTTTGGGAACCACCATTTCACTTTCAGACTGTAGATGAGTTTGTGTTTCTATAATCCTATGTAGTTCATCATATAGTATATATTCTTCTTTGTATGACTTTTTTCACTCAACATAACTCTCTGAATTGCTAATTATTATTCTATGTATAGATACAGCAAAATTTTGTTTATCTGTTAATCTGTTTATGGACTTTCAGGTTGCTACCTATTTTGGCCTATTACAAATAAAGCTATGAGCATTCAAGTATAAGTCTTTGTATGGACATGTATATTTCCATACCCCTTAACTAAATACCAGGAAGGGGATGGACCAATCATTTGTAGATACATGATTGTATTTTTTTTTTTTTGAGAGATTTTCACTGTAGGGCGCGTGCGCTCGCCAGACAGACAGAGAGAGACACAGAGACAGAAAGCGAGAAATCACCCCCCAGGGGGGATGGTCACGCCGCAACCCCCTCTCCTCCACTCTCCTCCCGGGATCCTGGGCACGCACCCACACACGCCCGGCGTGAGTTCCAAGCCACCGGGTCTGCGACACGAGCCGCGGTCGACCACGTGGGAGTCCAGCGACACAGCCATTAGGCCAACTGCTGGTTCCCCATGATTGTATTTTTGAGAAAACACCAAACTGTATTTTTCAAAGTCACCATACCATGTTATGTTTACATCAGTTGTATATGAGAGTTCTAAGTTCTCCATATGCTTGCCAATATTGGTTATGGCTATGCTTTTTAATTTTATCTATTTTAACAGGTATATAGTGACATGTTATCATGGCTTTAATTTGTATTTTTCTAATGACTAATAACGTTGAGAATCTCTTCATGTGCTTATTTATCGTCTGTATACTTTCACTGTTGAGATTTTCTTGTGTTTTCTCTCAGAATTTTCATAGTTTAGGTTTCACATTTAGGCTTATGATTATTTTGAATTATTTTTCTATGTGATGTGAATGCTATTAATTTGTTTGCATATGGATACCCAAGTGTTGCAGTCAAAAAAGACATTTTTTTTTTCTCCACTGGATTGTTGTTTCATTCTTAGAGAACGAGTTTGTCTGGGACCAGCAGTTGGCATAATGGCTATATTGCTGGATTCCCACGCAGTTAACCGTGGTTCGGGTCCCAGACCCAGTGGCTTAAACTCAAGCCAGGCATGTGTGTGTGCATGCCCAAGATCCCAAGAGGATAATGGAAGAGAAGGGATTGTGGTGTGGCCATCCCCCCGGGGGGTGATTTCTCGCTTTCTGTCTCTGTTTCTCTCTGTCTTTCTGGTGAGTGCACGTGCCCTATAGCAAAAACCTCTCAAAAAATAAAATAAAATAAAAAGAGAGAGAATGAGTTTTCCTGTACGTATGTAGATCTGTTTCTAGACTTACTGTTCTGTTTCATTGATTGCTTTCTCCATCTTTCTACTAATATGATGCTGTCTTGCTTACTGTAGCCAGTAAGAAGTTTTGAATTCAGATAATATTAGTCCTTTAAATTCATGTTCTTCTTGGGACCAGCAGTTAGTGTAATGGCTATGTTGCTGAACTCCCATGTAGTTGACTGCAGTTTTAGTTCCGGACCTGGTGGCTTAAACTCAGGCCAGGCGCATGTGCATGTGTGCCCAAGATCCCGAGAGGAGAATGGAGGAAAAGAAAGGGATTGTGGCATGGCCATGCCCCCTGGCGGGTGATTTCTGGCTTTCTGTCTCTCTGTCTCTCTCTGTCTCTCTGGTGAGCACACATGCCCTATAGCAAAAAACTTTCAAAAAAAAACAAAAAAATTCATGTTCTTCTTTGTTCAAAGTGTTTTTTGTTTTTGTCTTTTTTTTTTTTTTCTATTTTTGGTCCTTTGCATTTGTATAAATTCTAGAATTATCTTGTCAATTTTGCCAATAAAATCCTGCTAGGATTTTCTCTGGGATTGTATTGAATTGAGATCAGTGTGGGAGAGTATATATCTTAACAATATTGGCCCTTCTGATTACTAAACATGATATATTCTCCATTTATTTAGGTTTTCTTGGATTTCTCAGAATGTTTTGTAGTTGTCAGTTAAGGTCATGCATATCTTTTGACATAATTATCTGTAATTACTTCATATTTCATTTTGATGCTATTGTAAATGATGGTGTTAAAATTTTATTTTCTGCTATTCATTGCTAGTATATAGAAATACAGTTGATTTTTGTGTATCAATCTCTTCTTCCATAACTCTTGTTAAACTCAGTTTTTCTTGTAGCTTTTATTCTGTAGATTTTAGCATATTTTAAGTATAGACAGTCAGATTGTCAACTGTTTTTACTTCTTTCTTTACAATCTAAGTGTTTCCATTTTTTTTTATTGACCTGTAGCAATGACTAGACCGGTCAGTAAATAGAAATGGTGAAAGTGTAGGTCCTTGCCTTATTCCTGATCTCAGGTAGATGACATTAATTCTACCATTAAGCATGATGTTATCTATATTTTTTCATAAATGCCCTTTATCAATTTGAGGGTATTTCCTCCTCCTCTGGTTTGCTGTCAGGTTTTTGTTTTTGGTTATAGGATTCTTTTGATTTTTTTTCTTTCTTTTTTTTTTTTGTTTTGCTATAGGGCACAGGTACTTGCCAAAAAGCCAGGGAGAGAAAGAGAGAGAGTGTGAAACCATCCTCCTTGAGCAGATAGCTGCAACGTAGTTTCTTCTCTTTCATTCTCCTCGAGATTTTAGCTTATACACACGTTTCTGGTGTGATTTTCAAGGTACCAGGTCGGGGACTCAAACCACAGAGTCAGCCATCTGGGATCCAGCTGCCTTAACTTTCATTCTGCCTGCTGGCTTCTGTTGACAGTTTTTAAATCAGTAATGAATGTCAAATTTTGTCAAATGCTCATTCTGTATCAGTTGAAATGATCATTTCTTTTTAGTTTATTAATGTGGTGAACTTGACTGATTTTTGTATGTTAAACCGATCTTGCTTCCCTAAGGTAATGCTCTATTAGCAATGACTTATTATCCTTTTTATGTATTGTATTCTTTTCTTATAGTACCTTTATCTGGTTTGGGTAATACCATACTCAAAGAATGAATTGGAAACTATTCCTTTGCCTCTAATTTTATGAATGAGATTTTATAGGATTGACATTTCTTCTTAAAGCATTCTGTACAATGTACTAGAGAAGCTATTGAGGCCTAACTTGGAGATTCCTTAGTAGGAAGTGT